AAAAGCAAGAATTTGTGCAGATTCTTCATGATGGTTGTATCCACTGGGTATGTGTTTCCAATATCGGATGCAAAAAGGGCGAGATAAATTATTATGACAGCCTGTACCATTGAAAAGATTAACCCCCATGTGCAAAAGCAGATTGCAAGCCTGCTTCATGAAGAGTTAGATCACATAAAGATACACATCAAGGCATCACAACAGCAAAGTAATGGAGTTGACTGTGGTGTTTTTGCCATATCATGTGCAACTAACCTGCTCTATGGAAAGGATCCATGCAAAGTAAATATAAAAGAATCGCTAATGCGAGGTCATTTAGTAAACTGTCTAGTCAGAAATGTGCTTTCTCCATTCCTACAAGAGGATGAGAAAACTGTCTCCCGATGCCATGAATACACCATGATTGTTTGGCTTTACTGCTTTTATCGCCCTTCCAAGGTTCGAAGAAGACAAAGTGCAAAGTCTAAGGGTGGCTTAGTGTGATAGATGTGATGAATGATTGCACCAAGAATGTGCCAAAATCAAGGAAGATATTTTCATGAGGAAAATCCAGTAGTGGATATGCACCTATGAGTATCCTCCTCGACATTCAACATACAATTTTACATGTACATACTGTATATGTTACAACTGTTACAAGTTTGTTGATAATGGAGCTTGTTCATTCAGATCAAATTTTAATACCAAGCCAATTTCTTTCTTTGATTCAATACACACCAAGAAACATGCACAGGAATCAATTCAAAGCAGTTTAATGTTTATATAGTTTTAATTACATGATGGTATATAACTAGTAGTTTTGAAGAACAAGGGTTCCGAAGGAGTTGGTTACAAATGACATAATTCAATGACATTGCTATTACTGTTCACAAGTAATGATGAAATACCAAATAATCATATCACAGACAGATTTTCTGAGAGGTGTGCGCACCCTCAAAAATATTCTCCTCCCCGAAAAAGTTTTCCCACCCTACCTAGAGAAATGCACGCCCGCAAAAATTTAAATACTCATTAAATTAAACTAATAAGGATTTTGAATTAAATAGAGCAAAAAATCTCAAAATTTTCCTTTTTCTGGAGGCTTGCAGACTCCTGCTGCAATTTGCTTGGTGGTGTTATGTGCCCCTGGCTCGCCCCCTTGTATTTTCGCACACCTCCTCCTCCCCAAAACAAAATTTGAAGATCCATCTATGTTATATATGTATTATATATATATATATATATATATATATATATATATATATATATATATATATATATATATATATATATATATATATATATATATATATTAGTTGTGTAATTGTACACTCTGTAATATGTTAAGATGAAAATGTTCTAGACAACATCTTTCTGCTTGCGCTGGGTATGGAAATTATATAATACACAATCTAGAACATTTTCATCTTAGTATATATATATATATATATATATATATATATATATATATATATATATATATATATATATATATATATATATATATATACAGGCAATTGGCAACAAGCTTTTGCCCTTTTAGTAGATTATGTAAAGTAGATATAGTGATATTTGCAGTTTTTCTAGATTAATTTTGGAAATCAAGCAGCAAGGTTTCTCACTGAAGGTATAACTTTATACACAATCTGCTGTGGTTGAAATTGTTATTCCAAATATATACAAAAAAAAAGATAAAAGTCTGACCCGTTGAGTTACATTCAAGATTAATTACAGACAGAGAGTGCTGTGTGGGCACACTTCCCTCATTGGGGGACGACACTGATAAATGCATTTCACAGGTGCATGAAGGCTATAGATCAGGGTTACAGGGTATCAAACAATCTCGTTCCCCGAGCCTGCGATCGTCGGGAAGGAACGTGAGGCTCTGGGATAATCCGTTTCAGGGAGGAATCTGATTGGCCGTTGAAATGGATGCATAGTTCAATCTTAGCCAGGATTCCTGGCTTCCGGCAACAGATTATCCCAGAGCCTCGCGTTCCTTTCCGAGGATCGCAGGCTCGGGGAACGAGATTGGGTATCAAATTTAATCTTTATTGTTTCATAAGGAGGGGGAGGGAGAATGGGGTTGAAATTTGAAAATATATTCATTTCTCACTTGCACCACACTGACACATCATTTCTCATTTGACGTTATAAATATCACATACGCAGTACAATTTGACAACAAATAAATTACACACACAGACTACACATTGACAGTGTATTGCCTGTCTCCTGCATATTGAAGTATTTGTATTAAAAAAGTTTATAACTTAAATAATGAAATGAGTATTAATCCACAGTCAACAGGTAGCTACTAAGTTTTACAAATATAGGTGAAGAACAACTTTCCATGGAGGTATTGCAAGGCAGCAATTTCCTTACGATTAAACATGTAATTAATATTAAATAAAATCAATGTAAAAATGTAAAAATAGATGTATTTCATATTGATATACGACACTCTTCCGAAGAATAGCCGAAGAATGTGTGTATATTTTAATTAATTCAATTGACGTCATGTCAATTTCACAGATGGAAAGTAGTGCTAACCCAGCCACCAAAGCCTAAACGTAATAGAAGCAGAAACGTGATATGGTTTAACCCTCCCTACAGCGCCAACGTTGCTACCGACATTGGTCACAAATTTCTGCAGGCTATTGATGAATGCTTCCCACCAAACCATCCCTTACATAAACTGTTCAATAGGAACAACCTTAAGTTAAGCTACAGCTGTATGTATGTACGGCGCACAACAGAACCCTACTCGATCGCAAGCAGCCCGAGGCTACTAAAAATTCCGATAGAAAGTGTAATTGCCGTCAGGAAGAATCCTGCCCCCTCCCTGGCAAACGTTTAACCGAAAGCGTTGTGTACCGGCAAGCCACAGTAACGAGAGAAGACAACCAACAGAAAGAAACCTACGAAACCCATTAAAAGTGAGATACTACAACAATACAAGCTCGTTCAGGAACCCGGAACATAAACATTCAACTGAACTGAGTAAATATATTTGGCAGTTGAAACAGTCCAACATAGAATACTCTATTCGCTGGAAAATTTTAAAGAAATGTAAGGCCTACTGAAACAAAACAAAACGTTGTAAATTATGCCTGCACGAAAAGTTCGTTATAATTTACTATCTCATGCAAACTAAGCTCATTGAACTTAAGAAACGAACTAAGGCCGCGGTCACACTAGCGCTAGAATCGTGCTTACTTGAACGTAATCTACTTGAATCTGTCAGCAGGTCAGCCTCCAAGCACGTTTGATAGTGTGACCGCGTAAAACGCATAATCCGAGCTTGCTTGAAACTTGATACATTTTGCTTGTAACTACAAAAGTACCGCAGCAAGCTTCAAGCACGGTAGGGACGGTGACTGAACTGTGCTAGAATGCATATCTCAAGAGGATTTATACAACGCGACCAATAAAAACGCTCCCTGTTTAAGTGTCCATTAAAAATCCTGATAAGACCAATTAAAATATCAGAATGGATTCAACTCCAAACCGAACGCAACACAATGAAAGTGCGCCATCGTATCCATATGCCCAAGATACCTTTCCTGGCTTTCCTCAATTCGTTCCGCGATCCAGCTGGATGAATATGGCCACTGATTCACAGCCGCATTATGGCGGCTCCTATTTTCCTTACGTTCCACAACCACCGAATATACCTAAAACGCAAACCCATTCAGAAAATGCTTCATCTAGCACTTCGACGAATCCGACAAACGAGTATGATTCAGATCACGTCGCTCCGAATTTAGCTTCCTCCGATGATATTGGCGCCAAAGGAAATACATCAACAAGATGGAAGGAAGGGCAAACCACCGTCTTAGTGCACGAATGGAGAGAACGCATAGAAGAGTTAGAAAGCAGCAGGGCAACGGATACATGGCATCGTATTGTAGACGCAGTAAACAAGGCTGGCAGTTCAAAAAGCTTAAAGCAATGCAAAAACAAAATTCGAAACCTAAAGCAAGCATACAAGGAAGCCAAAGCAAACAACAATCGGACGGGGAGTTCACCAAAGACAAGCCCATTTTTTGACACGTTTGATGATGTACTTGGAACAAGGGCGGTGGTAACAATGCCTGGTGTAATACAGAGCGATTCTGTCCTGTATGAAACCGCAACGCTAAACGATTCGAACGAAGAATCCGATGAGTCAGAAACTGACAGCAGTGGTACACCCTCTCCAGATCAAATTGGCAAACGTAAAAGGCAACCTAAAAATCCCGCAAGGAAACAAAAAAAAGAACGAGTCACTGCAGCCACGGCTATGATCGACCTGACCGGAAAACTGGTTGAAATGCAACGCTCGCAGGCTGAATTAATGGACAAGGCACAGTCACGCACAGAAGAATTAATGTTGAAAATGGAGACGGACCAAAGAAAACTGGATGAAGAATCACGGCATAGGGATCAAGAGTTCTTTTTGTGGATGGCGGAACTTATGAAAAAGTAGAACATAATACGTCAAATATGATAATATGAAAACTTTTATAGGCTATTCAAATAAGAACAAAACTTAATTATTCCCGTGTTTACAAATGACAATAATATTTTTTTAAAACTATATTTAATCGATATGAAAATGCAACAAAAAGTATGATTTAGTTAAATTGAGATTGAATACAAATATATATTGTGTAAAATCAATGTTTATCTCTTTCTGTGTAATTGTTAGTCAATAAAACGTCCAGGTAGAATAGTTCTGGAATAACAGATAATTTATAGTAATCACTGTTCGATGGACTGGCGAATGGTCTGGGCTACGGGATTTTGAACTATTCCCCCGTTTTGCAGCATGTTAATCTGCACCTCTCCTTCTCTCTCGAGTGCAATGATCCTTTGCAGAACTTCGTCATTGTCAAATTCTTCCCCTGCTTGCTGGCAAAAGTTGTGTAAAATACAGCAGGTTAGAATGACTTCTGGAATGTTACAAAATTTGTTATCGAGGCGTTTCAAAAGAATTCTCCATCTAGCTTTGAGTATTCCAAATGCTCGTTCAACAGTCGACCGGGCAGACGAGAGAGTTTTGTTGAAGTGCCTTTGAGAACGATTGAGGATAACGTTTATTGGATAAGGCTTTAACAACCAAGGTAACAGAGTAAACCCACTGTAACCCCATGCTCTTTAAGAATCTCGCCATTCTCTGCCTTCGTAAAAATATTACTTGCGCGCAATATTCGAGCGTCATGCATACTGCCTGGATACCCAATAGCAGTGTCCAAAACCATTAGATTTTCCCAACCACAGCTTGCATTGTTACACTGTAACGGTGATGACGGTCAAAATAATCAAACGGTTCGTCGGGTGCGATGATTTCAATGTGCATACCATCAATAGCTCCAACAGCTTGTGGAATTTTGCAGTCATCCTGAAAAAGTGCTATTGCTTTGGCTGTTTCATCGCGATTGCTTGGAAATTTAATGTAATTGCCTACCAAACGATTTAATGCTTTGCAAAATTCTTTTGTGATTGTCACGCATGTTGATTTTCCAACATCGAAATGGGTGGCGATTGTTCGAAAACTTGCACCTCCAGCCAGACGCCATAGAGCAATAGCCACTCGTTTCGCAGGAGAAATGGCATCTCGAAAAACAGTGTTTCTCTTGTAAATTTCCGGCTGGACTATTTCCATAAGTGGCAAGAATGTGGGTTTCTGCATGCGAAAATGCTCCTTCCAATATCGGGATTCATGCTCGTCTTGAAGTATAACTTCAAACCATCCAACTCCTGGTCTAGGAATAACCCAAAACTCACGATCAACTCTTGGGTTGACCACTCTGGCGATCACGATAAGAAGCAATGTTGTTGTCGTCTGAAGCGTCTGCAATCGTCGCATGTTTGATTCATTTGGTGAAGCAAAAGGTATATTCGTCGCCTTCTGCGATTAAGCGCTGTTCGTTTTTTAGCATCGCGAAAACGTTGATACATAAAATGAAATAGAATCAAAGAATCTCTGTCCATTTTAAGTCATTTTAAGTCCATATATATTTATATAACGAAGAATTGCGTAATGTAAATTTACCAAAAACCAAAAAGACACTTTATCTGTCATTACAATATTAAGCAAGCATAAGTACTTTTTCAGTGTGACCGCGACGTGCTTGCTTAACATTCTAGCACTTGCTTGAATGACGTCACAAGCAAGCACACTAATCCTTTGCTAATCTGCAAGCACAAGCGCTACAGTGTGACCGCGACCGAATATCGGCATGTAGGCACAGGAAAAAATTCCTGCTCTGTAGTCAGTAGTCAGATTACAAACATATATTTACGCTTTCCTAATGACGTCAAACATTTGTATATATAATAGCTCAAGTTACCTATACGTTATAACATCATGTAAATACGCGATATCACCATTCACCTGATGAGTGTGGCAAACCTAGTTTGCCATACGAAACAAATTTGTCGTGAATAAATGTTTTAAACGAAGTAACTCAAGTTTGTCTTTTATTTGCTCTACTTTCGTATCGAGCACTCTATTCGTATGATTCAACATGACTCAATATACTTATTGACATTCGCCTATATATATATATATATATATATATATATATATATATATATATATATATATATATATATATATATATATATATTTAACAATTATTCGCCGAAGGCGAGGTGATTATCGGTGAATAAAAACTGAGACGAAGTCGAGGTTTTTATTCACGATAATCACCGAGCCTGAGGTGAATAATTGTTTTAGTATAATTTCGTAGGTGATTATTTAGAAAAAAATAAAAAATACAGATTTCTTCGTCATTTAATTGACAAAACGGCTTCGGCCGCCATTTTGAAAATCGCTTAGGTGATTATCGCGTAATAATCACCTCAACGGCAACCAATCAGCGTGGAGAATTTTCAATAATCACCTATGTAATTATACTAAATATATATATATATATATATATATATATATATATATATATATATATCAAGAGCCAGCCCCAAAAAATCTTCATTTATAAATATCAAGAAATCATAAACTTCAAAGTAAACAAATTATATTTTTACGTTTCGGGGACAAGCCCCTTCTTCAGAATAACGCTACATCATCTCCGTCTCTTGCTTGCTTGCTTTTTTGGGGGGAGGGACATTCAGGTCTTAGTGATTTTTTAGTGCAGGTTATTGACGTCACGGACGTTAATAACCCCACTGAGAGGGAGAGCTTTTGGATTGAGAAACTAAATAGTTATGTCCCACGTGGGCTTAATTTAAGGGAAGAGGTTTAAT